TATCACACTCATTGGACTATAACCTTACTGTGAGTATAAGGGCAAGTAGTTGGAGCATAAGAAGATAAAATCTCCATGTCTATCTTTAAGAAATCAGTAAAGCCAGCACTATGGAGTAGTGGGTTAAGCTGCCACTTGTAGAGCTGGCATCCTGTATGGATGCTGGTTTGAGTCGTGACTGCTCCACTTCCTATCCAGCTCTCTGCTATGGCCTGGGAAAGCAGTAGAAGATGGCCCAAGTCCTTGGGCCCCTGCACCCGCATGGGAGACTCAGAAGCAGCTCCTGGTTCCTGGCTTTGGAATGCCCAGCTCTGGCCATTGTGGTCATTTGAGAAGTGAACCAGCAGGTGGAAGACTTCTCAGTCTCTCTCTGCCTCTGTAGCTCTGCCTTTCAAATAAATTAAGTAATTTTTAAAAGAAAAAGAAATCAATAGATAAGAGTAGATATTTGTGCAATGGTTAAGACACACCCTGGGTCACCTGTGTCCCATGTCAGAGTGCCAGGGTATAAGTCCCAGCTCCTCCACTTCTGATCCAGCTTCCTACTAATGCACCCTTTGGGAGTCAGAAGACAGTGGCTCAAGTACTTGAGTCCCTGCTACACACATAGGAGACATGGATGGAGCTCCAGTCTCCTGGTTTGGCCTGACCCAGCTATCATGGGTATTTGGGGAGTGAATCAGCAGGTGGAATATCTGTGTCTAAATTTTCTGCCTTTCAAATAAAATAGAAATAGATTTTAAAATTTCTTTTTAAGAAGAAAAATCAGTGGCTGACATTTTTGCGCAGTGGGTTAAGCTGCTGCTTGTGATGCCAGTATCCCAGTGGATGCTGGTTCAAGTCCCTGCCGCCTTGCTTCCAGTCCAGCTCTCTGCTAATGAGCCTGGGAAAGCAGTGGAAGATGGCCCAAGTGCTTGGGGCCCTGCACCCACGTGGGAGACCCGGAAGAAGCTCCTGGCTCCTGACTCCAGATTGCGCAGCTCCAGCCATTGTGCCCAACTGGGGAGTGAATCAGCGGATGGAAGACCTCTCTCTCTCTCTCTCTCTCTCTCTCTCTCTCTCTCTCTGTGTGTGTGTATGTGTGTGTAACTCTGACTTTCCAATAAATAAATAATTTTTTAAAAAAGAAAGAAAGAGTGCGGACTGGAGTAATAGTGGGGGGTTGGGGAGATTGGGAGGGGACGGACATTGGTGGGGAGGGATGTGCACAGGGTCAGGGAATCGGCAGAAGCCAGATCACGCCAGGCTCTGTAAGGCACAGAGAGCATGATTTTTTAGTTTTTAAAAAATATGTATTTTTTCTTTGAAAGGCGGAGTTAAGGGGAGGGTGGAGAGACAGAAAAAGAGAAAAAGAGAGAGAGAATCTTCCACCCACTGGTTCACCCTCCACATGGCTGCAATGGCCAGAGCTGGACCAGGTGGAAGTCAGGAGCCTGGAACTCCATCTGGGTCTCCCATGTAGCTGGCAGGGGCCCAAGCACTTGGGCCATCTCCCGCTGCTTTTCCAGGTCATTAGCAGGGAGCTTCATTGGAACTGGAGCAGCCAGGACTCGAACCAGCGCCCATATGGGATGCCGGCACTGCAGGCAGCAGCTTGACCCGCTGTGCTGCAACACTGGCCCAAAGGACGGTTGATTTATCCTAAGAAAACCAGAAAGTCATCCCAGTGTCTTAAACAGGGAGGGGTAACGCATTCATTTATGTTCCAGAAAGATCCTTCTGGCCTCTTGTCTCCAAGCACCAAAACAAAGAGTGGCAGCAGGGCTGGAGGGAACAGACTTGGAATTCACATTTCGTCCTCGCGGCAGACGAGGACACTGGGACTCAGAGGCATCTGTGAGGCCCTCACAGCCTAACGTTCCAGTCACTCCCCGCTCTGCAAGTGCAGGCCCTGAGTCAGTGCCAACCTCCTGCTTGGTCAGATTCTCCCCAAGGCCATGCAGAGCCTCTGGAAGGCTGAGTTTGAGGGACAGCGGCCTGAACAAGGGGACCTGCACCCTGCAGGAGCCCTGAACCACCCCAGGCAACTGCCCCCTACTACGATGGCGACAGCCCGGTGCCTCTGTGGATGGCACATGCCCAGTCCTTCCCCTGGGAGCTCCACATGGCGACCCCGAGTCTCAGGGAACCTCAGGCTCCTGCCCAGCACCCCACACCAGGGGTGGAGTCAGGAGGCCACCGCTTCTGACTCCTCTTCCAGTGTTCCTGTTTGCCACACCCCTGCCTCGCCTCATTGCTACAAGGGTTGACCCTGGATGGCCAGTGTTCTTGTCTTGTGTTTGTCATGAAGACTTCATACGGACACACTCATCTGATTACAGTGAGGCCAAAGTACCGGCCAGCGTCACGCTGTTGACACAATCACTTGAAAGGAATGAACAAGAGAGACAGGCACAGAGGCGAGCCTCGCCGGGCGCAGTCCCTCCAAAGCTCCAACCTCCCCCGGGGCTCCCGCTGGCTGCAGGACCCACGTCCTCCCACTGGGTGCGGTAAGCAAGGTCCCCACAGCTCCTGCATCCCATTGTCCACGCACGCTGTTCTCCTCCTGGCCCCGTGCGTGGTCCATGGGAACAGACCTCCCCACTGGCCAGAACACCAGCCCCTGCCTTCCACACAGCAGGTGGGGGCAAATCCTCTCCATGACTGAGGGCCCAGGTCAGGTGTGGCCCTGCCTCTGGGTCCCTAAGTCGCTGCATCCCAGCCATGAGCCGTTGCCAAGTGTAGACACAAAGAAAGCGAATGGAGCCGCCCGTGGCCGGGGTCTGGGGGGATTTGACGGTGCCTCCGGCCAGTCCTTTCCCTAGGCACCCTTGTCTCCCAGCAAGGGGCTGAGGTGAGCCACGACTGTCCACGGGGTGCCTTTTTGTCTGTTGGCTCATCTGAAGAAATAGGGCCCAGGAACATTCTAGAAGTAGCAGCCTCTTTGCCCCCGAGCCTCTCCCACCACTCCTGTTTGTTCCCTGCTTTTTTTTTTTTTTTTTTTTTTTTTTGACAGGCAGAGTGGAGGCAGAGTGGATAGTGAGAGAGAGAGAGACAGAGATAAAGGTCCTCCTTTTTTCCGTTAGTTCACCCTCCAATGGCCGCTATGGCTGGTGCACTGCAGCCGGCCCACCGCGCTGATCTGAAGCCAGGAGCCAGGTGCTTCTCCTGGTCTCCCATGGGGTGCAGGGCCCAAGCACCTGGGCCATCCTCCACTGCCTTCCCGGGCCACAGCAGAGAGCTGGCCTGGAAGAGGGACAACCGGGAAAGAATCCAGCGCCTCAACCGGGACTAGAACCCGGTGTGCCGGCGCCGCTAGGTGGAGGATTAGCCTATTGAGCCGCGGCGCCGGCCATGTTCCCTGCTCTTAAAAAGCACCCGCGGGGGCCGGCGCCATGGCTAATCCTCCGCCTGCGGTGCCAGAATCCCATATGGGCACTGGGTTCTAGTCCCAGCTGCTCCTCTTCCAGTCTAGCGCTCTGCTGTAGCCCGGGAGTGCAGTGGAGAATGGCCCAGGTGCTTGGGCCCTGCACCCACATGGGAGACCAGGAGGAAGCACCTGGCTCCTGGCTTCGGATCGGTGTAGCTCCGGCCGTAGTGGCCATTTTTGGGGTGAACCAATGGAAGGAAGACCTTTCTCTCTGTCTCTCCCTCTCACTGTCTGTAACTCTACCTGTCAAATAAATAAATAATCTTTAAAAAAAAAAAAAAAAGCACCTGCGGAAGGGGCAGAAAGGATGCAGGGCAGGATTAGGATGGCAGTGGACACACACACCCTGAGATGGCAGACCCCAGCATCTCCTCGGGTGCTGCCTTGCTCCACCTCGCTGGGAGTAGCTGGGCTCGGGCTCTCTAGGACTTGGAGCCGCTGGGTATAAGGACTCCGGGCCTGCCAGGGGCTCCAGGAAGACTGGAGGGTGGGGTGTGCCCACCTTATCTGAGGGACAGCGCTACAAGGCCCCAGCCCCGGCCGTGGGCACCTGCACTCACAACGCTTTCCTTTCCACCTGCTTCCTTCTCGGGAAACCGAGGCTCAGTGGACACCCAGAGAGAGGGGCCGAGGGTTGGACTTGGGCTGGCTCCAGATCCAGGAGTCCCTGCGCCAGCTGGGTCTGGGCTCCACTTGGATTCCACGGGGACAACCACCAGCCCAGCCACAGTGGCTCGGTATGAGGGTGGGAGCCCCAGATGCACCGGCTCCCCGCTGCGGAGAGCCCTCCGCCCCATAGCTGCTTCTTCCAGCAGATAGCATTGGAGCTAAATGGTCCCGGGGTGGAGTCCAGCCTCCCACTCACCTCGTACAACCCTAGAGAAGCCCCTTCCCCTCTCTGGGCCTCAGTTTCCCCACTGGGAAGCAGGGCAAGGGTGAGCTCCCATCCTGTGTCTGTCAGTGGGGTCTCCAGACTCAGCGGCACCTGCTCTGTGCCTGGTGCCTCGGCCCTGTGGGTCTGGCCCCGGGCTCTCGGCTGAGGCTCCACCTGTGCTTGTGTCATGTCACGGCCTGGAGCGAGCCAGGCTTGGGCGCCAGTCCCCACCTGACACCTGTCCGTGTGGCTGAGGCAGCTCCGGACCCCATCAGTGAGCCTGTGGGGTGCCCAGGCTCTTCCCCCACTGTGAGCATCCCCATTCTACTGAGGAGACTGGCCTCCACGTCGGGGTGCAGCGAGGGCCTGAACCAAGCAGTCAGAGCCACAGCCCAGCTCTCTCCCCAAACGAGGCCCAAGGCGCGGTCACCCCATCCTCACTCCTCCAGGCTGCCCAGGAAAGGGTAAGTTCTCCGCCCCAGGGGGCCCCTGCCTCCCACGGACCCTGTGAAGATTCCTCAGTGGGTCCCCCGGGAGGCAGAGCCTTATCACCCACACAGCACAGACAGGCCAGGGTGGGCTGTGCAGCCAGCCGGGCCTCAACCCCCGCCTGTCCAGCACAGCACTGGGGCTCACTGCCTGCACCCAGCCCTCCCCGAAGACCCTCAGGCTTGCCCTGATCCTGATCACCCCACCCTGCCCCTGGGGTGTCCCTACCTGTGCCCCGGAAGGGGCCGCAGAGGCGGCAGACGGGCACCTGCGGGCCCAGGTGGGTCCTGTTTAGGACCGGCAGCGTGCAGCTGGCAGACTTTAGCACCATTTCCACCTTCCCTTGAGCAATCATTAACCCTGCTGGAGTCCGCACCCCGGGGCTGGGCTGGCACCAGCCAGCTTAGAGGGCCTGGGAGCCGGGGGGGGGGGGGGGGGGAAGGGGTGACATCACAGCCCTCGGCCCCTCCCCGCTGCCAGAGTCCTGGTGGGGAGGGGCAGGTCAGCAGGATGGTGCGACAGCTGCACACGGGGCGGGGCGACTCCTGCTCTCTGGTCACTTCACTGAGACCCTCAAAGGGGATGACCCTTCTCCATCGGCTTTACCCCCCCCCCGCCCCCACAAGCTGAGTGGCTCCCAGCAGGGACCAAGCCCACCCAAGCTGACACCAGGGAAAGGGGGCCCAAGGGCATGAGCAGTAGTCTCTCTGGGGAAGTCACCACCCACGCATCTCTGAACCATGACTGCAGGGCCTGCTGGGAGCCTGTGAGGACCGATGGGCAGCCCCTCGGCGAGCCCAGATCTGCCCAGAGGGCCCGAGATGCACAATGACAAGAACTGGCATCTCACGATCCCAGGATGTCCTGGCAAAAGGTTGTCCTCGTGCCTCCCGGAGAAGTCAAAAGCTGCATTTATTGAGCACCTACTGTATGCCTTGTGTCGCTCTTGGTGACGCTTGGCATCACCCAGGAGAATCAGAGACCGTTTTCTTCATGCCCATTCTACAGAGATGGAACCTCCTGAGGCTCGCAGAGGGGAAGTCGCAGTGCCCATGTCCCCCAGAGAGCAAGTCCCCACAAAGCTCCACCCAGATGTGCAGGCAGGGGTACAGCGAGAGGTGAGAGAGGCCAGAGACCCAACTGTTAAGCCTCTTGGGGTCCCTACTCACCCTTGTAGACAATAGCAGACCTCCCCATTTGTAACTGGAAGAAAATGATACTGCCAACTTCACGGGGTCTGGGTGAGGACAGAATCGGACACTCAAGAGGGGGCCTGGGGCACAGCACGGACTCCGGCTCCTGCTCCTCTGAGCTCCCCAGCGCTGCACCCACAACCTTGTGAAGACACACACCCACTGGCAGGCTGGCGGGGGATGGGTATATATCGAGTGGTGACTACAATGAGGCATCACAAAATATATGTGTGTATTCACAGATTTGAACAGCCGGCAACAGAGAGAGGGATAAAGAGGGGCCTTCCATCTGCTGGTCACACCCCAGGTGGCCCCCACGGGTCAGGCTCCAGGCTGAAGCAGGAGCCAGAAGCCCCACCCAGGTCTCCCACGTGGGTGGCAGAGATTCAGGTACTTGGCTATCATCTGCTGCCTCCCGGGCGCGCTAGCACAGCGGGATCAGAAGCGGAGGTGGGTCTCTATCCTGGGCATAGGAGAGGTATGGGCGGCCCAGGCAGCGGCTTAACCTGCTGTGTGTCATGACACCTGCCCCCGACCAGGTACTTTGTCCCCTGCCCCCAAACTTAAAGCAGATTATCCTAAATGCTACAAGCTTAAAAAGATGAAAAAACCTGGGTGCAGGGAAAACCAGTGAGAAAAACAGGGAGAACCTCGGCCTGAATGCAGTCCACAGAAGTTCCAGGTAAAAGAGGTGGGCCAGGAATCGGGTTCTGAGCTTCCCAGCGGGCAAGGCAAAGAGGGGAACAGGATGCCGGCTAGGACACACACACCCCACACCGAGTGCCTGGGTTTGATGCCTGGCTGTGGCTCTTGACTCTGGCTTCTTGCTAATGTGAACCCAGTGATGGCAAGGTCATTGGGTTCCTGTCACTCACACAGGAGGCCTGGATGAGTTCCCAGCTCCTGACCTTGCCCCATAGCCATTGTGGGCAACTGTAGGAGTGAACTAGCCGATGAGAGCTCTTTCTGTGTGTCTCCCCCCACCCTCTCTATCGCAAATAAATTATAATTTTTGATACAAACAAGGGGGAAATGAGGCAGAGTTTTGGCATAGTGGATAAAGCTGCCGCCTGTGACAGTGGCATCCCATATGGACACAGGTGTGTGTTCTGTCTGCTCCATTTCCCATCCAGCTCCTTGCTAATGCACCTGGGAGAAGCAGCAGAAGATGGCCTACGTGTCTGGGGCCCTGCCACCTGATGTGGGCCACCTGGATGAAACTCCTGGCTCCTGGCTTCAGCCCTGGCCCAACCCAAGCTATTGCAGCCATCTGGGGAGTGAACCAGCAGATGGAAGCTCTCTCGTTGTCTCTCTCCCTCTCTGCAACTCTTTCAAATAAAGAAATCTTAAAAAAAAAAAAAAATTGGTGGGTAACAGGATCAGTTAAGCCTGGCATCCACCCACACACAGCCGGGATCTGGGAGCCCAGGTGCAGGTCTCAGTTTTGAGACCCGAGAGGCGTTTCTGAGCACAGATGATGTGACAGCCACAGGCGGTGACTAAGCAATGAGATGAGACTCAGGGGTCTGCCCACTGGGTTCCATCTCCGCAGGGCAAGTTACACGGCCGCCCTGAGCCTCAGACGGCTTATCCACAAATCGCGGATAAGGACACCTGCCCTGGAAGAAGATGGTGATCGTGGAAAGAAGTCCCAGGCGTCAGTGCCCCGGGCACAGCACTGGCGCAGAGTAAGGCCTTGGGGGATGGTGGTTTGGGTGTGTCGCAGCGGTGGCTGTAAAAATCACCACCCAAGACCTATGCTGTCAGTGGGTGGCAGTTCTCGCCCTGACGTAAGGGCCACGTGATTCCTTCCTGGAAACTGCCACCGATCTTTGCTGGTGCCTTATCTAGCGGGAGACAGCCAGGTACCCCACCGGCCCCTGGCCTCTAGGCTCCAGTCTCCAGCTCTGCCTCAGACACCCTGGTCTTCCTGCCCAGCCCTAGGTAGGGCAGACCCTAGAGCCAAGCCCTTGCCCTCCCTCCTGGCTCTCACGCCAGGGCCAGAGCGCCAGCTGTCCGATGATGCTTACTGGCCGGCAAAGGTATAGACCTTTGGCCATCTGGGCAAGCTGGAAGTGGGCAGATGGTGCCCTACCCATCTCAAGGGGCATCTGTCCACCTGCCACAAGGCAGCCTGGAAAGCTCACTGGGCTGTAGGTCGGATCATGACAACCCAAGTCTGAGGAACAGGTCCAGGTCCAGGGTCAGCTTCAGGGCGAGGCAGGCAGCTGGGCAGAAAGGAGGGCTCAGAGGCCAGGACGTGGACCCAGAAGACCTAGGTCCTAGTCCCCTTGCGATCACTCACCAGCTGGGGACCTTGAGCAAGGCACCTCACCTGAGCCTCCAGGTCCTCCTCTGTACAATGGGCATAGGGCAGTCTCCCATGGCTGGGCTTATGCTACGGGTTCACCAGGCGTGCCTTCAGGGACTCAGCGCAGGGCGAGTCACTGGGTGATGTCCAGGTGAGGCCGCAGTTGGATCGCACAGGCTTTCTCCCTGGTGACTGGCCTGGGGCTGAGGGCGCCCCTGCCCCATGCAGTGCCTGGGCTCCAGCTCCCTGCAGATGCAGACCCTGGGGGCAGCTCAAGTGACCGAGCTCCTGGCTTTGACATTTGGGAAATCAGCCAGTAAGAGCTCTGTTCTTCCTTGCTCTCTCAAATTAAACACACACACACACACACACACACACACCCCTAGGGATGGATATATGTAAACTTCTCAGGGCAGACATTGTGGCACAGTGGGTTAGGCCACCATCTCCATAGCTCGCATCCCCTGTCGGTGCCAGTTCAAGTCCCGGCTGATCCAGCTCCCTGCTCCTGTGCCTGGGAAAGTGGCAGAAGTTGGCCCAAGTGCTTGAGCCCCCACTACCCACGTGGGAGACCCAGCTGGAGTTCCAGGCTCCTGGCTACACTGCAGCCATCTGGGGAGTGAACCAGCGGATGGAAGATCTCTGTCTCTCCCTTTTTCTAACTTTTCCTTTCAAATACGATAAGTAAAGTGTAAGAAAAAGAAAAACAGGGGTCCATGTTGTGGCATAGCAGGTTAAGCCCCTGCCTGCAGTGCCGGCATCCCATATGGGCGCTGGTTCAAGTCCTGGCTGCCCTACTTCCGATCCAGCTCTCCGCTATGGCCTGGGAAAGCAGTAGAAGATGGCCCAAGTCCTTGGGCCCCTGCACCCGCGTGGGAGACCCGGAAGAAGCTCCTGGATCCTGGCTTCAGCCTGGCCGAGCTCTGGCCATTGCAGATCTCTGTTTCTCCTCTCTGTGTAACTCTGCCTTCCCAGTAAATACTCGCACCTTTTAAGAAAGAAAACCTTCTCAAAGTCCCTGTGCTGTTCTGTTTTACAGTTAAGGGACAACAGCCTCTCGGTCACCGGCTCCTCACCCGCGCCCCGCAGCCCCTATTCAGGGCGACACTGCTCTGACAGCGCCCCCTCCTGGTGGCTGCGTCACCGACAAGCGCAGTCAGCCCCCGGAGCAGCCCCTGCAGGCGCGCGGGCTGGGCTCGGCTCGGCTCCAGCGACCCGCACACAGCGGTGCGGAAAGCCAACCCGCTCTCGGCGTCTGGGCCACCGCCTCGTCTCGCTCCTGGAGTCTCGCAACTTCCTCCTGAAGGCAGCCGAAATACAGGCTCAGAGAACGGCCCAAAGCGGGGAGCCAGGAGCTGCAGACCGCAGAGCCTGTCCTTTGCCTTCCTGCCCGCCCCCATTCCGAGACTGGGGGAAGGACTAAGTTCTCCGGCAGGCGAAGATTCTCTGAACGACCACGGACTCGTACAATTGTCCCTGAGTCGGCTACTCGGCCAAGGTCACCGAAGCCAGAAGCGAGCAGCAGGAATGCCCAAAAGCGCTGGGCACTCTGCCCTTGCGCGCCCTTTGCCGCCCGACGCAGAGTGGGCGTGGTCGAAAGACGCCGCACCCACTCCCGCCGGGCTCCCCCCCCCCATCGCGCGCGCTTGGTGCAGTCCAAGCGGATCCATTGGCGCGGGGGCGGGGGTGGGCGGTCCTGGAGACGCGCAGCCGGCTTGGGCCCCCGCGCGCGTGCTGTTGGTAAAGTCCGCGGACAGTTCCACTGCGCCAGCCCAGGGAGGGGGTCGCGGCAGGCGGCGCCCGGGCCGCGGCTGCCCCGGGAGCCCGGGCTGCAGCGG